GATGCTCCTTGAGGCCATACTCTTAAGTGAAATAAATTGGACACACATATGTAAATATTTCATTGTCTCACTGGTGTGAGAAACTAAAAGTATAAATAAAAACCAAATTGTACAAGAGATATCATGAAATGGAAAGAAATTATTCAAAAGGAAAGTGGAATGGGGGAGGGGAAAGAAAAAATGAGAAAAGAAGAACAAAGTAGAAACAATGCTTTGTAAATAAGGAGAGGAAGAGAGATTAAAGGGAAACAAGGGGAATGGGAGGAGGAAAGACCAATCAAGGTATATTATGTACAAGTACAAAATTCCTATGACAAATGTGATCATTGTATCTACATAATTTGTACCACTAAACTTAATTTTAAAAAAGTTGAGGTTGTTGCTCTGAATCAAAGCACCCCTGGATTCACTCCTCATAACTAAAAGAAAACCCCACAACAATCAAGGTAATTTCAGACATTAAAAAAACTTCTAAAGGTATCATACAATGGTAAGATGACAGAGAATGCTAGGGTGCTGTCACTATAGATGCTAGTGCACATTTTTATAGATGGAAGGGTGCGTCTTTTGGGGGAAATACTAGAACAAGTGGGAGGGGACACACGATGAGGTAGAAAAGGTAAGCATCACTACATTACTTAGAGTTGGGACGCCATGGTAAAAGATCTGAATATTATTCTACTTTGGATGGGATGGCCATGGAGGGTTTTAAGCAAGAGCATCCCTTGACTGGACAGGTTTGAGAGAGAGCATCATGATGGAGAGGGAGGTAAACATCAGGTGGGTTTTAGTGTTATCAGTGGATTCCTTTACAGATGAGCGAAGGCAGAGAAACCAGACTAGAGGAAGTAATTGTGATGCTCCTGGCCAGAGATGATTCTAAATCAGTGGTGAAGAAGGCAGGGTAATGTGATCAGAGAGGACTGGACTTTTTGATGGTTGGATGGGAGAAGAGTGATGCAGAGAGAGAAATTAAACTTGATTTCTAAGTGTTGGCATTAGCCACTTAGTAAATGATTGCACCCTTTACTGAGATGGGGTCCCTAGAAGAGCAGCAGGTATGTGAGAACAAATCAGCATAACACAGGGGATGGAGCACAAGTTGATTCTCATTGAGATGTTTTGTTTAGCAGGCAAGTAAACCTCACAGTCATGTTGTGATGGTTGTCATGCTGTCATGTTTTGTAACAGATTCTAGAGACATTGTCCTGCAGTTTGTTAAATTGTGCTGAAGAAAATCTCATGCATGTGTCCACTTTGCTCTTGTTCCTTCTTGAGCAGCTCTGCGAAGCAGCTTGCCACTCTTTTTGTAAACCTGTGTGTCACAGCCGAGACGCATGAGGTTTCTGCTCTCTGGTTCCTGTGGTACGTGAAGCAGTGTGGGGGCACAACCAGAATCATCTCAGTAACCAATGGAGGCCAGGTACCAATTCACTGCCCTCATTCTATCTACTCATTTAGTGACCAATCCTGGCATTGCATAAGGCACAGTGCTAGACATAGTTGCAGGTTCCTGTCTTTGTCTCTACTCCCTCTCCCCTCTCTCACTGTCCTCTTCCTTTTCTCCATCGCATTCCTGGACCTATTTGACATTGTCTTTCAAAAAATTAACAGAACTAAAAATTGAAGAAGAATCAGTCAGCTCAAGCATGTGCACAGCCAGGTAGAATGTATGTGTTCTTGGGGACATTTGGAAGTGGGGTTCAGGGCAGGTGGGTGCAGTGGGGTGAATTGACCACAGTGACTGTAGAATAGCAGGTACCTGACCCAAGATGAGATGGGCGGCTTGTGACAGGAGGCCAATTTGGGGATAGGGTGGTACAGATGTATGGAGGTTCTGAGCCTGTGTCTTGAGAACAAGGCCTAACTCTGAAGAGCATAGCCTTGAAGGTCACTTAGAAAATCTGCCATTTTGTCCAAAGTTAGAAGGTTTAGTTAGAAAGCAATGGCAATAGTCATGGTTCCCAATAGTGAAAGGAAATGTTGTATGTCTCAGAGTAAACAGGGGAGAAGTAAAAACTTAGTCATTTAATATCCATTCCTATGTCTTTTCTCTGTCTTACTTTTCTTATTGCTGAGACAAAATAACCAGCACCTAAAGCTAAGGTGAAACCTTTTAATTAGCTCACAGTTTGTGGGGGTTTCAGTCCCTAGTTGGTTGGCTCCAAGGCAGGGTGGCACGTGGCAGAGGGGCATGACATAAAAGAGGCAGTTCATTGCATGCAGAAGACAACAAAAGCACCAAGGGCTGACCACAGATCTTTGTGTCCTTTACAGCTTAGTCAGAGGTCTTTGATCCTCACAGTAATCCTAGTGTCCTTGATCCTAGCATTGTACCATGAATCAATACCAGCATCACACATTTGAGATCTAGCCACCTCTGAGAAAGCCCCGCCTATGACTGCACAAGGCTTTGGGGAGTGGGCATCTAGATACAAACAATAACATGTACCCACCTTTTCTTCTTTCCAGGAGAGGAAATTTGTGGGCGGATCTGGTCAAGTGAGTGAGCGGATAATGAATCTCCTTGGGGACCGAGTGAAGCTAGAGAGGCCTGTGGTCCACATTGACCAGACAGGCGAAAGTGTCCTTGTGGAGACCCTAAACCACGAAATGTATGAGGTAACCAAGACCCTTAAACTGGAGAAAAGAGGCTACAGGGCTACAGTTGACCAAAGCTTAAATAAAGCCAAGAATACTCCAGATTTTACAGATAGTCCCTTGCCGAGACACCACTTCTATTTTAAAGAAAGGAAAGTAGAACTGGGATATGGAGGGGGAGCATTTTCAAAAACATATTTGATTGACATTGTATTAGACTCTTACATAATTAAAAAAGCACAAAATGTTTATTTGATAAATATCAAATACACCTTTATGTCTGGAATTATTCTAGGAGTTCAGAATTCAGTAGTAACCAAGACCAGTGCAATTCTCTGCTCATGAGGTTTACATTTTAGTAAGAAATAAAGGCCATAATCAAAGCTGGTAACCCACACCTGTAATTCCAGCATGCTAGAATGTTGAAGCAGGAAGACTGCAAGTCCCAGCTGGCTCTGGACAACTTCGTGGCTTAATGAGAACTTGTCTCAAAGAAATACATGAAAAAATTGGTAATGTAGCATAGTTCACAGGCTTAGGTTCATTTCTCAATACTGAAAAAAGTGGTCATAATCAGATATATATTAAAATTTAGTCTTTCAAATAGTGTGGCAAAAATCAAGCAGCAAAGGGAGACGGGTATACCGGAAGGTGGGGTGGGAAGATTGGTCACATAAATTTAAATAACGTCATCATCATGCATCATGGGAAGCCTTACTGAGGTGCTATTTGAGCATAGAACTGACCGAGATGAGGCACTGAGCCATGTGGCTGTTGAGGAAGCGTGTTCCACACAGGTGGAATAGCAGAAGCCAAGTCCCTGGGACATGATCAAGGAACAGCAACGTGGCCACAATGGCAGAAGTCAGGAGTGAGGGGAAGAGTAGCAGGTGTAAGATTAGAGAGGTAACAGGACGATTTCATGTGTGACTTTGGAGGTGACTGTGGGCAAATTGGGTTTTGACTCCAAATATGATTAGAAAACATTGGAACTCTGAACCAGGGGAACAACAATGGCTGTTGTCCATTTGTACAGAATCCTTCTGGGTTTGCTGCTAGGAAACTGAAAGCAAGCAAGGGTATGCAAGTGGATCATTGGAGAAAAACCAAAAACAACTGACCAATAATGTACAAGCACATTGCTTTTCTTTCAGGCTAAATATGTAATTAGTGCTATCCCTCCTGCTCTGGGCATGAAAATTCACTTCAAACCCCCTCTGCCAATGATGAGAAACCAGCTGGTGTCCCGTGTGCCTTTGGGTTCAGTCATCAAGTGCATAGTCTATTATAAAGAGCCATTCTGGAGGAAAATGGGTGAGTATTTTCCTTACATAAAGACTTTCAGGAGAAGGTCCCAAGAAGGTTGGTGTCAAGACACACATTTGAATGTAATTATTTTTTATTATAATTCTGGTTATAGTATAATTCTGTCCCAAAGTACAGTTCTTTCAAATAAAATACAATGGTGAAAACTCAGGCAATTAACTTTCCTTGGAATTTGACCAACTCTTTTTATAATTTAATATAGAGTTTATTTAATACTCTCACAAACTGTTGGTGCCAAGAGGTGATTAGAATTTTCTAATGAGAAATTCTTAGGCCAAATAACTCAGCAGACTAAAGTGCCTATAAGCAGGCGCAGGGGCCGGGGGTTTGATTCCCGGGCCTGCCATGCTGGCCCCACCCCTGAGGCATGCGGAGATGGTGATTGATACTGGGGGTGGTGGTGCACACCTGTAATAACAGCACTTGGGAGGCTGTAAACAGGAGACTCACTACAAGTCTGATCTAGTAGTGAGACCTTGAACACCGTGTAGATCCTTCCCTAAAAATTTTTTTTAAAAAATGAAAGAGGGGGCTGGGGAGATGGCTCAGCAGAATAAGTGCTTCCCTGGCAAGTGCTAGGGCCTGAGTTCAATCCCCAGTTCCACCAGAAAAATAAAATTAAAGTGTGGACTTGTCAAGGCATTCACAAAGATGGAGGCTCTAAAATTTTCCAGGCCATCTCTTGTTAGTGTCAAGATTTTGCTACATTAATTGAAAGTCATTTATTTGTTCATATATAGTCAAGTGTGCTACTACTAATTGTCTTACTTGGTAAAACAATGCATGGGATTCTCACTAAAGTGCTAGATTCTGCAACATAGGAATGCTCTAGATCTGCTCTGTTAAATCTACTAGCCACTGGCCACATGTGGGTTCTGAACATCTCAAATGTAACCAGTGACACTGAGTACTCACATTTGTCTATTTTATTTATTGGGTATAGAGTCTTTCTATGCAGCTTGAACTCATAGTGATCCTTCTGTTTCAGCCTTCCCAGTGCTGGGATTACAGGTGTGCACCACCGTGCCCAGTCTCAGTATCCTGCATGGAGTGAAGATTGAACCTGGGTCCTCATGCTTGTCATGCAGGCACTTAGACTGCTGAGCTATCTCTCCAGTCCCTTTTTTAAATTTTTTTTTACATTTATGTGTGTGTGTGTGTGTGTGTGTGTGTGTGGCCAGCTCAGCCCACCAGGGGGGGGGCTGGCTGGCATGTGGTGCTTGGGGGATCGAACTGCGGTCCCTGTGCTTTGCCAAGTTTGTTCCAAGTAGGTGCTTTAGACCACTGAGCCATCTCTCCAGCCCCTTGTCTATTTTATTTAATTGCTTTAAATGTGAATGTATATAGCCACATTCAGCTAGTAGCTGCATGACATAACAGCACCCTTTTGCAGTCTTGACACATTTACTTCGGTCACATTTACTTTTCCTTGGCATGGAGACCAAGGTAAGAACACCCAGTCCCTGAGACTGAGGGCAAAGGGCAGGCCATGCTGAAAGGAAAAGAAAGACTGGAGACAGTGCTAAAAACAAATGGAGACAGAGTCACAGTTTGGTCTGTGAACAGCAGTTCTTGTATTCAGTTGACCCTCTATGCACAAGTTCTACATCTCTGGATTCAGCCAACGATGTATCAAAGATATTTGGGAAAAAATGCATTTGTATAGAAATGTACAGATCTTTTATCATTCTGCCCTAAACAAATCTAACAATATTATAGAGTAATTGCTGACCTTGAGATGATTTAAAATATATGGGAAAACGTGCTTAGGTCATATGTATAACTGCACCATTTTATAGAGAACTTGTGTATTGACAGACTTTGGTATCTGTGGAGGTCCTAGAATCAATCCTCCACAGTTATCTGAGGTAATCTCTTTTGGCTGTATCTCAGCTTTCTAATCTCCCATCCAGCAAATAACCATAGATAATAGGGATTGGTGCGTCAGCTGAGCAAGTAACTCCATTTTGTAAAGGGCCGTCATCAAGAAACTGTCATTTTAGGGTCCAGGGAGATGACTCAGTGGAATAAGTGCTTCCCTGGCAAGTGCAAGGGCCTGAGTTCAATTCCTGGTTCTGCAAAAAAAAAGAAAAGAAAAAGAAAGAAACTGTCATTTTACTCTTTGAATTGAATGGCAGTGGCACACTGGTGCTGAGTTGCTTACTTTTGTGATCCTGCAGGTCACACTTTTCATTAGCTGACTGGTGGCCGGTAGATAGGGTTTAGGACTAGGAATGTAGACTCTTACTGACTATGAATGCTTTTATGTGTGGACAGAATCTCCAACTTTCCATTCATGTCTGCAAACCTCCACCTTAGGCTTGCCATGTAACAGGCAAATGTTTTCTAATATCAAAAAGAAAGTCCAAGTTCCTTATGCAGGTAGGAAGCCAGATATGAATTGGTCCTTCTTGGCAATGAGCCTTGATAATACTTAAAAACTTATTATAGACCTTGGATAGCCCTTCCCAACCATTTGAGATTTCTTTTGGGTAACTACTACATGTTGAGCATCCGTAACTCCAACATCCAAGATCTGAAATAGTCTAAAATCTGAAACTTTCGAGCAGCCATGTGATGCCACAAGTGGAAAATTCCACACCATGAAAATTTGTTTCATGGATAAAATTATCATTTTTGATCTAAAGTGATTGTATTTATTTTTATTCACATTTGTGCATATTGAATTTTACAAAATAATGGGTTTTACTTTGACATCTTCACAAATATATATACATATATGTAATGTGCTTTGATCATATCTACCTTTCTTATTATCTGAATTTGTTCTTTTACTATCTTCCTTATTATCTGAAATTATCCAGATTTCATCAAATATTCAATACTGAATTGCTATCAGTGTGACAAGAATCACATAGGATGAGTTTTAGAGCTCTCTTCTGTGTTTCTATAATAGCCTACAATTCAGTATGCTGTTATGTAGTTACCAGTTTGTATTATATCTTCTCCCTATGACTCAAAATGAACATTTGAATTCCCAATGCCTAGCACAGTACCCAGCATACAAAATGGTTGATTGAAAGGCGAAAAGAAAGAAGGGAAAAATATATATGTACATACACAGGATATTTTGGATAATTGTACTGCTGATTTTTACTGGTATATTAAAAGGAACAGTTAATGCTTAAATTTTTATCTTCTTTTTTAATTTTTTCACCAATTTTTCATGCTTATATCTGGCAATCTAAACAACTAGTTTGAAGACAACAATATGCAACATAACAACCATTGTTGAATTCCTATTATCTTGCTCAGTGAATTTCGGTATCACTTCTAATGTTTTTTTTCTATTTCTTGCACTCTTTTAAAATATGGTTGGTTGAATAAATACATTAATATACAATAGAAACGAAAAGCTCAGGGGATATGAACTAATGAGATAGAAGGGGTTGGTTTGTTTGTTGCTTGTTTCTGCTTCGTCTTCACTTTTATTCCTCAAGAACTTTATTACTCTCTGGATGTCCTTGCTGCCCTGCCCAACTGTTGGACATTCTTTGTATGCAAGCAGGGTGCAGCCACCTTTCCCTGGAGTTACCGAAATCATACCAATGTTCCATGGTTCCATGCTGCTTTTCTTTCTGCCCCTCATTTCTTCACTCCCTCTGAGGTATTTGTCTGGCTCAGAGGCCACCTTTGCTCTATGAAGGATGTGCAGAAATAGTTCTTTCATCCACAAGACAGCTCCTCATCCCTGGCCCTCTTGGCATTCTGTTCTCATCTCCATTGGTGATCCTCACACAGCCGATGTATACCTGCTGTTTTCTCTGATGAGATTCTGTCCTGTGTGTTGCCTCCCTCTCTTGCCTCCTTATGACAGATGATTCTTTAGCTAGTTCTCTTGTATTCTTAAGTTCTTGCCTGGATGTGGAACATCTTGTCCTCCCAGCTTACTGTAGGGGTGTGTAAGTGCCAGTAGATGACTAGGCATGAATTCTCACAGGTGCTCATGGGGAGGGATGGGGGAGGAGAGCAGCAATTGCAGTTTAAAAGACCTCCAGATGTGGCTGCTTGCAGGTCAGGGAGGTGTGTGCCTGCAAAATCCTTTCTTTCTTAATTTGAACCCTTCTTGTTGACATTTCTATACAAAGTCTTCCACCATGATTTTGTGCAAATAACCTTCTAAATGATGGGGTAGCAGAAGGAGCACACCACAATAGGATATTTTTATAAGCTTTTAGACTCTAGCCTGACATTTTCACCATTCTCCTGTCACAGTCTTTTGTTAAAATTATATATACAGCATTCCTGTCATCTGTGGAGGGATGGGCCCAGGAACCCTGTGGATATCAAAATGTTTGAAACCCTTATATAGAGTGTACAGCATTTGCATAGAACCTATACTCTTCCCCCCTGTATGCTTTAAATCAGTTCTACTTCTAATACCTAATACAATGAAAATGTTTTTTATTAATTTTATTGAGAAATAAATGGCAATGAGACAGTTTCAAAACTGATTAGTAGGGCAGTTTCAATAATTAATACATTGCATATTGTTGTCTTTGTAGTGGTTATTCATAGTACAAGATACAGACATAATATCCTGTCCAAACACTATTAGTACAAATCTTTCTTCTCAGTGAATTAAGACAAAGTAGCTATGTACCTATCCTATTTTGTATATACAGATACAAAATGGTCGTTCATTTGTATCCCCCTTTTTTGTTTAGTTTTGTCAGAGATGGGTGTTCCATTGCCATTTAAATATTGTAGCTGAGTGAATCCAGCAAAATAATCCAATATACTCCAGTAGTCCATAACAGTAGTGGGTCATCCACAGGACTGGCAATATCAGAAGTTGTTGACTTGAGCCTTTCACAGCTCAGCATATTAATATGGCTTTACTTTTTATACCTTGTTTTTATACTTGTGGATGGTTAAGACCAAGATAAAGCAAGACCTATATAACAACAAATGTAATTCCTGTATTTGACAAGGTCAGTCAACTCCCCTCAGGTTTTACCCTGAAACCCTGTACTGCAGTTTGTAGATCCTTTGCCAGTGTCAGCCATGTGGATGAGTCACGGCCATTGCTTGACCAGTGTGCTCTCTGTGAAAGCCTGAGAGAATGTTTTCTCTCCATGTGACTCTCCTTAGGCACACTCTACATCATCAGTCACTGTCTTCTGTGGCCCCATAATCTAAGAAGTCTAAGATCTATTCAATGAAAATTACAGTACTCTGAAAAATGAGATTGTAGAGGATTTCAGAAAATGTAAAGATATTCCCTGCTCCTGGACAGGAAGAACCAACATTGTGAAGATGGCCATACTCCCAAAATTGTTGTACAGATTTAGTGCAACCCTATCAAACTACCACCAACATACCTCACAGGCCTAGAGAAATCATTCCTAAAATTAGACATAGAATAGCAAAGATAATCCTGAGCAACAAGGACAAGGCAGGAGGCATTACAATTCCTGACTTAAAATTATACTACAAGGCTACTGTGATAAAATCAGCATGGTACTGGCAACAAAATAGACCTGAGAATCAATGGAATAGATTAGAAGATGCTGAAGCCCCTACGACACACTCAGCCACATTATCTTTGACAGAGGGGCCAAACATACTCACTGGAAGAAAGAAAGCCTTCTTAACAAATGCTACCAGAAAAACTGGCTCTCTACATGCCAAAAACTCAAACTTGACCCAGGTCTATCACCATGCACTAAACTAAAGTCAAGATGGATTAGAGATCTAAACTTTAAAACAGAAACACTAAATCTCCTGGAAGAGGGGCTGGTGAGATGGCTCAGTGGTCTAAAGCACCTACTTAGAACAAGCTAAGCTAAGCAAAAGCAGAGACCGCGGTTCAATCCCCAGCA